TAGCATTAAATGAAAAAGTGTTTCCAAAAGCATACAAGCATTTAGGCCCTGATGTGAATTCCATTGAAGTTAATCAGCCAGCACTGTAATGCTCAATATGGGTGATTTGTCACTGACAGCTCATCTCAGATTTTCCTGATATATTTTCCATTAGGTTCGCGGATAGTAGAGTTGTAGACATACTTGACACTACCAAAGATTTTCAAAACTAGTTGTTAGAAGTTTTATAAAAAACACTCAATTAAAACAGGGGTGTAAGTAAGTAATAGTAAGTAGACCAAAATTTTGCTCTCAAAATGTATCTTAGCTTGACTTTCTCTTTTCAAAAGATACATCAAACTCAAGTAGTTAGGACTACAGACAAAAACCCTGAATTAGTAACAATGGTACAAGAACTTAGAGACGGCATGTGTAACTCCCAGAATTAAAATAAAGGAGAGAAAATGAAAATTGCTGTGCCCTCCTGAGTGCCAGTGAAGTCAAAAGCCATCCCTTCCAGCACCTGAGCCTGACTGGTGGCTCCAGAGACCAGGGAGAGCAGAGCAAAAGCAGTAGAGAAGCTGTGCAGGGAGAAGAAAACATTTGCAGGGTTCTTGGGCAGTCGTTTGCCTATAAAACTATAAGGAAGAGTGTACATTTCTGAGGACTATCCATTGGCACCACCCAAAAAGATCTGCTGCTCCTGTGGAGCTTAGTTTTCTTACTCTTGTGGCCCCTGAGCTGTTGACAGTTAAGGACAATAGGCTCACATGCACCAAAAGAACATTTCATGCAGTCATGGATAAAGAAAAAGTAAAATTTTAATTTCATATCTGGGTACCATGCCAAAAGCAACTCCTAAATTCATCCATCTGGCCCTGTGAGAACTTCTATAGGTATTAATTTATCAGGTTAAAGCCACATTCGTCATTCTGATTTGTCAGTAAAATAACTTCTAAACATTTTTAGCAATCAAAAAAAATGAGTTTCCCTTTGGTCTGACACTGTCTTTGAGAATGAACTGATCACCTAGGATTTGATTATTTCTCTCTGGCCCAGCAGTAATTTGGCAGTAGTATTACTGCAGTTGTACTCTGCTTTAACATCACTGCCAGGTCTGAGGAGTGGGGAGCTATGCTCTTTATCACCTCCCCCTCTGCCTGCTCTCTCTGCCTGCCCCTGCACAGCTGTTGGAAGGATAGCTGCATGCTGCTGGCCTTGGGTGCTGAGCCTTTCTCAACAAGAGGTCCACCTGCCAAAGGAGACTCTCCAATGGCCTTTTTCTGCCAGCTTGTTCCAGTTTGCAGCATCAGGCCACACTTAGCAAGCAGCTGGGTCCTTGAACTAGTGACAGACTTTCTGGATCGTAACAAAAATCTTGATTTCGATATTTTTAAGGAGGAAAGGGGATAATGGACAATGCCTATGCTTCCACAGTAAGTTGTATAACATTTTAAATTACATTTGAGTTCATTTATGTTACAACATAATAGAATTAAACTTTCATATTTTATTCTTCATGGTAGTTTCCATGTGCTCAGCTTTGAAGTGTTTTTGGTAACTGCATCATCAAAGTGTTGCAGTATCATCTAAAGAGCTGCACAAATCCTTAATGAGGAGCAGCCTTTTGAAAATAAGCACTCACACTTACTGTGAAAATAAGCATACAGAATTACAGCAAATGCACAGGACTAATCAGGAGAGACCACCCAAACACATCTGTGCTAAGTACATGGGAGTCTCACAGTCTGTGACTTGATGTAGTTTTGAAGGGCATTTATTGAACTGCCTAGTCTTATTGCACATCATGGTCTCCAGCTCCCTCATTTCTGAGAAGTAGTGAAGGACTATCAGCTTCACCTGGAACTTAGTGTTATTCAAAAAAATGCAAATTGAGAGCAGAGAGGGAGCTTGTAGGGCTGAGTGATGAGGGGACACTTTCCCACTCCCCTGTTGTTCACTCTGGCTCCATTTGTCCCAGTACAAAGAGCAGTTTTGGGGAACAGACCTGGCCATCAGCCTGCAGACACATTTTTTATATTTTTGGTACAGTTCAGACACATGCCACCATATGATTCTTCCAAACATGTTCTAAGCATGTGTCTGGAGTTAGCACAGGCCAAGAGTCATTTCCAAGAAGTAGATGGGATGCATTGCAGGGTCAGAATTAAGCAACGTGGATACAACCTGTGACGAGGCAGCTGACCTCATGGTGAGAGAACAGACCTTAGGGCTTTTTATTTACCAGCATAGAGGTAAACTCTGGAGATAGGATTAATCTCAATGTTTGGTTTCTTCCTCTTCCTGATATTCATATCCTGTCCTTTCTGAACGTCCACTTACAAGAAATACAAGATTAAATCTATAACACAATGCCAATAGAAACTTCTGGATATCTAGCCAAAACATTTCCCAGCACTGCTTCCACACAGGGTGTTTGTGTAGAGTTTGTTTCATTAATGGCCATCTCAAGGAAGCCAATACAATGTGGGTGGATGCCATCAGCTGAATGTCCTAAAGGAGAGTCTGGAATAAGACTTGACCTTCAAAGGAAGTGCCCAGGCCTGGTCTAAAGTGACTGACTCTCCCAGTGTGTAATTTGCAGATATGCCTTCCTTCTACTGGAAACCTACCAATGTCAGAAGCCAACCTGTAGCTTGCAGAGAAATAATTTGGATTTATCCACTCAAATGGTATTTACTTACAGTATTTCAACGGAGTCTCTCAGCTGTATATTACCTTGCTTTTCAAAGATGGCCCTGATCACTAAAAGGCTGATTTATCAAATGCTTCACAATGCACTAATAGGTTTATCTCAGTGGTTATTCTCTATGGAAAGATGAAGCAAAAAGAATTTTTTGAAGAAAGACTGTACTCTTTCTGATTTTTTGGGAAAAATAAAATTGTTAGTAAGTGTTGGGATATGATTTTAATGACAATGGACAATAATTCCATAAAATGCAATTCAAATCAATAAGACTAGCCACTGACCAGTCATTTTTCTGTTGGGTTTACAATTTTTTCCATGAAGAGGATGGTCTGAGTATACTGATCAACAATCAGCAGCAAGAATGGATGATTGAATTTAACAATGGGAGGAACAGAATAAGGAAGAAAATCTATGCTGCTGGCTGCCGCAACCTCTGTGTCATTCTTATGAATCTTCAGCAGGGCCTTGTGAGTAGCCTACAATAAAATAGAGCAAGAATTAATGTATGTGGAAGATGTGGTGTGAAATTATTCAAATTAACACAAAGTTAATTAAACTACTGCCTTTCACAAAAATTGCTGGTAAGCCAGGAACCAGGAAGAAGGGCCCTACAGCTCATTGTGTAGTTTTCAGCAATGTTGTCTCAATAAGAAAATATTTACACATTCAGTGTTCCTCACCACGACTGTGATCAGTGCAGAGCTTAGCAACTGCACACCTTGTGGAATTATTTGAAAGTAAAATAGCCAAGCAAATTCAAAGGGAATGTCATTTTAAAAGGAAAAGGAAGTGGGGCCCCAGAACTGCTCTGTAAGTATTCCTAACAGCACATGCATTACAGTTTACAGAAATGCATTACAGTTTACAGAAATTCAACCTGGCTACCAAATTTTTTGTTAAGTTATTGTTGGGCATGTTTAATCCTTTTATTTTACTAGTCCCAAAATACTAGAAGATTGTAAGTGATGTTTTCAGAATAGATATAAAAATGCTAGTTTTTAACTTCACATTATTTTCAGTAAATGGGATGTTTTCCTCAAGTCTGGTCCATTTTATATTTTTAGCACTCGACAGAGCCTTCAATGGTGAGAGCAGTTTCTAAATCCTTTAAAATTATAGAATGTACGTTAGAAAAAGGCCACTTTTTTGGTGGATATGCTGATTGAAGACATGCCCAACACAGTTACTCATAGGCAGTTCTTTTACATGCAGAATATATGTTGTGTTTAGTTTCCTGGTTAAATGCTAAACCCACCCCTCCATCTACCCTCCTCCTTTGCTTGTCAGACAAAAGTAAATATCCTTATCTCCAGATCTTGGAGAAGTCTGAGGAAGTTTAAAGGGACTTTATCAGCTAAATGTTCTGTTTCAAGTATTAGCTAGCCCTAGCAATAAGTAAAATTTCATAGGTGAACTTAGGGTAAGGGAATTAGCTGTTAAGGAATCCATAGATGGCTGTTTCTGCTGGTAAACTTTTGAAACCTTCACAGCAGGGTTTCCTGTGATTCCAGACAGATCAGCCCAATTAGAAAACACATCAGTTACACCCAGATTCATTAAGATCCTCTTTAAGTCATAAGTGCCTGAAATTTATAGTTTTGGAATACACAATTCCATCCTCCTGTCAATTAAAAAGTAAATGATGGTATTCTTGAAATCAGAAGACACCTTGGACTGAAGATTCCTAACCTGATGGTGGTTCTTCTGTGCTAAAATGCTAGCTTTTCATCTAAGAAACGTGGCAAGAAAAAGAAGATAGGAAGATGCTGGTCTGGAGGATAGAAAAGTATGGAAGGAGAAAGACATCAGTTCATATTTCTTTTATAATTTTCCAACACAGTCACTTTCTGAGACAGTAAACAGTAGTGCTGCCATCATTTTTGAGACAAAATTTGATTTCTTTTTCAAACCTTGAAGGTTCTGCTTTTGGAATTCACACCCCAATCCCTCTGAGGGATCTGTCGCTATGTCACAGTATTACTACTCAAAATATTTAGCTTGAGACAAAGGAAATGGTGCTACTTAGCATCAATTAAAAATGTATGAGGGAAAAAGAATTAAATTTCCTCCGAGATATTTTCTTTCATCACAAGGCAATTTTCTAAATTTTTCTGATTCTAATTTTTGCTGAAAGTATCAAATCATTTGGTCTGATCCTTTATACTACTTCTATTGTTTAAACCTCCCATCAAAAATACAAAATAGTAATTGTAAAACCTGACCATAGCATTCAGACTTTGGATTCTCACTACCTCGATTCATCAAATCAAAATTCTATATTTACCATCTTTGAAGAGATCTTTGCCATTTAGAAACTGGTTTTTGTCAGGACATGTTCCAACTGTTTCATTTTTCCTTTATTGGGCAGAATAAACAATGCTGTAACATCTCCCTTGTAAGGAATCTGCATCACCTCTCAAGATAGCTTCCTGTCGGAGTAGGCTTTATAAAATCCATCTCGAATCATCATTTCCACTTCAACTGAGGTCTTTGAATTCACATGGAAAAAGTCCTTGTGAGTCCTCTTAATATCAAAAGGATTTTCCCAGTAAGCTTAAAACCAAAAAAGAAAGAATGGAATTGAATACTTATTTCAGTGAGGATATATTAATATTGTTCAGAATAAAGTACAATAAATAAAACTATATCTGAATATTTACACTTGGAAATAAAAAGCATTCAAAGTTTATTAAATGTCTTATTCTCTTTAATAATTAAATATCACAGGTTAAATTTTGTATGGATTTGTACACAATCTTTCTAAAGTCAGATAAATTAAATGAAGTAACTTCATCATATTATCTTATTTATATTTGAAACAAATGAAAACTGACCAGAATCCAGGGATTTGCTGTTTTCAGAATATTGCTTATAAAGCAAGTTTCACAGCAGATGCCTAGCTTTTAAAAGGTAGCATGTTGTGCTCCTCACATGGTTTTTTTATTATGTTTTTCACCTTGTAGCACTAAGGAAAAGCTTACATGCTAGAAAAACAAAAACTTTTGGACTTGAACATAACTGCAGTATGGTAAATGGAATAGGGCCTCAAGGTCTTTAGTCCTCAAAATGCTTTGGCCTTTATGTTTATTCAATTGAATTTTCTATGATATTTTATTTTGTAATAAAAAAGGTCATTCACTAAACAAATAGACTGGGATTACAGCTTGCCATTCTGTAAGTATATATTTTTGGCTTTCTTGTTTTTTTAATGTTGAATAGAAATAGCTTCATTTGAAAAATAAATAATGGAATGTAAATGCCACAATATTCTGGTTACTTTATAAGTTTAAGCCTTCTCCCTTGCTCTCCAGGAAAGAAATTTACTCTGGTATGGTGCTCAGACTAGGAAACCTGAGATTAGGTCACCCAAATTTATAAAGTATTTGAAATAAAAAGCATTTTTTTATTTTGCTAAAAGTTCATAATTTCCAAATATTTTCAAGATATTCCTTTATGTTTGGGAAATTCTGTGTATGTCCTGCATGCTGGTACAAATGAACACCCAAGAAGTTAATAATTTCCAAAGCAATACATTCAAATACCTCTTGGGACGTGTGTAATATGATGACAACTCCAGAGGTACCTACGCATGTAATAGTCATGGACTGTAAGTAAATAAAAGGTTTTGGCAATTTTTGTTAATCATCATCATCTTCAAAATTTAATTTTCTAATTCACACATACAATGTGAAAACATTTTGATTTTTAAACTAATAAGTGGATGAAGTCTGACAGGATAATTTAACAATGCACAAATTCCCTGGCAATTCCCCGAGCCTGAATATTGCAAGTAAGTGAACTTTTATGCTTAGAAATCTAAATATATGCTAGAAAAATTTAGATGTGGAAGAGGTTTCAGAGTTGAAAACTTTTGGTTTTTTCATAATAGTCGCATCTAAACACATATATTTAAAAATTATTCAAAAATAACTTGGTGTACTTGTTTTACTTCAGGTGAAACAGCACAAAACAGATGCAGTAAATAGCATCTATGTAACTTACCTTTGAAATAAATGTAGTTAACAATTACCATCAGAGTGTTTGGATCAAGGTGCTCAAGTATTTGGTTTATATTCCCATGAGTTTTATTCTTTACATAATCATTGATCTCTTTTTTAGCTTCAGTGGAATTCTGGAAGCTAGTAGAGACAGCTTTTCCTCTGTACAGTTTTTGATGCCATTCAGAAACATTTTCATTGCTTCAGGTGTTTGTCCATGAACAGGGTGTTGCCCATTCCAGCTGCTCCGGGCTGCCAGGGCGGTTCAGCACGCGGAGGAGCTGAGGAAAACCATCACATATCTCCTCCTTGTGGATGTTGGTGAGGCTAAAGGCCAGGCCACCCAGCAGCTGAGCCTGGCTACTGCCAGGGCCAGAAGGGCAAGGGCAGCAGACATGCTGAGTGGGGAAAAGAAAATGTTCTTGTCAGGTTCTTAAGTGGTTGCTTGCCTGTAAAATTGAAAGGCAAAGCCTCTATTGCTTGGGATTATCCTTTGGCAGGACTCAAGAGGATCTTCCTCAAGAGCATGCTGCTCCTGGGGTCAGTTGCCTTAGGCTGGGCCGTGTGGTGATCAGTCTGGGTCAGACTGTGGCCATTGGGGTGAAGCATGGCCACCAGCAAGTACAGTGGGAGCATGGCCTTCATCATTCTTCACAGACACTGCGTGGACAAAGAACAACAGGTTGGATGCTGGAGGCTGGCTGTATAGACACCTCATCTTTCATGTCTGCTACTGCCTTCAAGTGGAAATCACTGTTATGTTGTGACCTCCTCCATTGCTATTTAAATCATTGTGCTTCTGAATTTACCTGTAATTCCTATCCATTGCTGCCTACTTCAGTTCTGCTTTAGCTACAAAAGTTCCTTGTTAGTGGGGAAAGAAACATGTGAGTATTAAAGGAAAATAAGAGTCTAAGGGAGAGAAGTAGTGAAAAGGTTTTTGTTTTGTTTTGTTTTGGTTTGGTTTTTTTTAATGGCAAAACAACACAGTAGAAGCCTTCTGATTAACTATTTTGTGCTTATCTCCTAAATCCTCTGGGGATTATTATGCTATTAGCATACAAATGATTATGTTATAAAATAGTGCTACACTGCTATATCAAAGGAAAACAATACAAGATTGTAGAAGTCAAAAGTCCTATTTTCTCTTATTTCTGACTCATTTTACAAAGCAGCTAATCATAAGAGCTGGTAAAATTTTTCTGCTTCAAAACCTGATTAAATCTGAATATGTTTGTCTATTTTAAATGACCATTCATGTGCCACTTGTCTTACAGATGTGTTCCTTCTTGTGTGTATCCCACATCTGGTTATAGGAAGGTGAGACCATTAGTGTGGACTTTGCCTCTCCTGTCTTTCCAAGCTTCATATCAGCAGGAAAGTATTGTTTTGTAAGGTAAATATGCCTTAGGCCAGAGTAGTGCTCAGCAGCAAGACTGGATCAGGACATCTTGAACATTAGTAGCGACTCTGACCATTTTTTTTCTTTCTTTGTTTACTGCTTTCCTTTTTACCAATTAAACCAAGAACATGCTGAGATGATTTGTGGTGTGTAAGATGCTTTACCTCTCAGAAAACAAGAGCTATTCCAATTAAAAATATTGTACCAGTAACTAGAAAATCTCCAAATAGTCTTCACCTAATGTTTTGCTTGAGACAGAACAGCTTCAGGCAGAAGATCACAAGCTACCTGCTTGCCCCCCATTCAATCGAAAGGCATTCAAAGACATGGATTCAGCAGAGCAGATGACATATTTACTGGGATTCTATCCACCCTGGCACAGCACTCTGACCACCAAGATTTGGGTGAAAAGGAGCCAGCTTGTCTTTCTGCAGCTTTGCTCTGTGTGATCCAGGTAAATTGGAATTTACAGAGGACATTGGCATAGCAAGATCAGTTTGTGAATTCTGTCTGAGTCATCTTAGTGTATGCAAGACATTTACTCATTCACTTCAGTTTTGGTTATCTGATTGTAATCTTTAAGGAAAATTAGTAATGATAAATAAAATTGACAGTTGAGGAGTCAGAACACTTCTGTTATTGAAGCATATTTTTTCTAGATGTTTTTGAGCTATTTGGGATAAATATTCAGAGTTATACTCTGTGGAGCTGCTGTAATGAATCCCCAGAATTTGCTATTCAGTATTTCTTGAAATTAAGTTCAGCTGTCATTTGAATACTTAGAAACTAGGTTTCACCTTTGAAAGCAGATGTGCTTTATGACTCACTTAGCTAAATACCATACAGCTGGGTCAAAATCATTATGGTAAAGATAACTGTGTACTTACTTTACATTCAGAGGGCTCGTGCTCTCAGTGGGCTGTGCTGTTTCATGCTGCTTTACTCATACTGCTGTTTTCCTCTGTTAAATATTACATGGCTTCAGATACATATTACCTAGAAGCACAAAGCTGAATGCTGATGAATCCAGTGTTCTTGGACCTTGTATGCGTATGTCCACATCACTTCACTCCAAACAGAGAAAAGACCACTGGGCCCAGGCTGGTCAGTAGAACACAGTATTACATCCCAAAGGGTATGCAACTCCTAAGCAAATATTTATTGGAAATGACACTTTGGTGTCAAGAGCAGCTACTCTGCCCTGTGTGCTACCTGAGATGAATAAAACCATTCATCTGGAAGCACAATTTTGCCCAGCACTAAGCTCTGAAGGCAGGGTGAGGGAGCTACAAGGAGCACCACTCGTCCTCAGTCATGCTACCCAGCTTACAGGACTCCACTTAAGTGTCAACATCTCATCTTTTATTTCTACACAGTAGAAACCCCACTGGTTGCTACTCAGAAGTGAGCAATGGCTTCATAAATAAAGAGGGTACCTCATTCGGTCTTGTAGGAATGGTGAATTTTAGGTATGTGGCAATTTATTGAATGGTCTCCTCACAATCAAATGATTCTTTCTGTGTCTCTATTAAGAACCACCTAGCCTGTCAAGATCTGAAAAGTACTTAATGTAGACTTCAGCACTTGCAAAATCTGTATAAAATATGTGCCATTGCTGCAAGTGCCCGAAGACAATCCTGAACAAATGAGACTGCCATAAGGTATAGTAGCAGCAACCTAGTCTCAAATGCATCAAACAATAGCAAATGATGGGAGAGAGTAACCCAGAAATATTAACCAGTAATAAATAAAGGCAGTCTCAAACTGTGAGTCTCACCCTTCTTCTAAAGATGTATTTCCCAGGAATCTTCCAAAGGAAGAGGAAGATAAGTGCTGTAAAGCAGGTTTACCACCATTCACCAATGGATAAGCTTTCAGATGCATGGTTTGATCAGCTAGCCAGGAGAATGCCTGCTTTGTTTTTCTATGCCTCTGCTACATTTTGCAGAGACAGCACAATCCCCTTGATACTGTAGAACCAAGGAGCTGTGTATGTAAAACTGTGTAAGCACAGCAGTTCCCAGCTGTGCTGCTTTCAGTGGTCATTCTTTACCTGCTGGGATCCATGGCCTTGGTGACACAGATAGGTTACCTGCATGGTATTTACAGACTCAACACTTTTTTTTCCATTTTTCCTTTTTTTTTTTTTAATTTTGGAATATAGCTTAACACTGCATGTTTGCTTTAGATGCAGCCAAAGTTGGCTGTTAAGTATTTTGATTTTTAAATTTGTATTTTTTCTTATTAGAGTACCAATTACTGTTGTCCCTTAGAACACTTGTGAAGGTTCAGGTGAGGCTTGATGGAATAGTTTTATTTTTTTGCCAGCCGCAAACATTCTTCATTTAAATTGAATGAATGTATAAGCCAGAATGCCCAATGGCACAAATGCAATGTTTCAGGGAGAATGAGAGAGGTGCTCATGGTGCTCCAAGACAGGCTGTTAATGCTTCTGGGCACTTCTTTAGTCATAGACATGAGCAGCATTAAATATTTGCACTTTTGTTAAACATTACATGGATAAAAAATCTCCAGCAGTCTGAGGATACAGATAAATGCTGATGTAGCCATGCAGAGAAGGTAGAAGTCGGTGCTCGCTGGGCCAGCTGGCTTTAATATTTGCTGTCCCCAAACATGCATTACAGCCATCTGCAAGCACACTCTGAGGAGGAGAGGTCCATGGCCATGAGCAGCTGCACTGCCAGATACACCTCCCTAGCTTATTGCCAGCTAGTGACACCAGTGCTAAGGCATCTCCTGAAGTGTGGTATGGCCTGCACTGCAGCTTTAGATTTTTGACCATGCAGCTTGGGCACCTGCTTCAACATGGTACTAAGAAAAGCAGATCAGAATAGGTAATTAACACATAACTGGGTTTTTGGGTTTTTTTCCCCCCACAAATGAACTTGGAAACAGTTCAGAAACTGTCCTACATTCAGAGCCTTGATTTGGTCACAACAGAGGAGAAACCCTGGGCAATGAACTCCACTGTGCAGGGCCAGCTAAAGCAGAAGGTAGCAGGAAAGAGACAGTGCTGTAAAGAATGATACTGCAAGCATTGGGGCTAATTCTGGATTCCCTCTATGACTCTGAGGTGAACCAAAACATGCTTCAGTACAGTGAGAAAACTGTCAGAGACACAAACACAAATTTTTTTGCTGTTCAGAAATTCATATGTATTAGCCTCTTGTTAAAAGTCAGCATGGATTGATTTTTGAAACTCTTTCAAAATGTGCTTCTTTTTGTTTCAACTATCCTTGTTATCATGAGGTAGTGGCTTGAAGAAGAGGTTCATCATCCTACCAGGAAGGTCAGCAAAGCTTCTCCAAGCCAGTAGCTGCTCCACCCCTGGGCTTGCTTGGAGACAGTAGTGCATAGAGCATGCCTACATTGCTGCTTTGTTTTACACCTTAGTTCCTTCTTAAAAATATTACTCTAGTCCTACTATTTTATTCAAAATACTTTTTAAGAAGCTACCTAGCTCCTTTCATCAGCAAATACTCAGCATGCCTTGCCTACAGTCCCAACCATGCCCTGCTGCTTGCAATGCAGACCATCACTCTATAGAAAGGCAAAACTCTCTGTACAAAACTCTCCTGTAGTTCTGGGCACTCTGAAGGAAAAGTAATGGCACTGTCTCAAAGAAGCAAAATGTCAGTCTTAGCTGAGGAGGGACCTGGACAAAGTATTTGCAGAGCAGTCACAGCCACCCCACTCCAGACAAACATCCACCTGACAGAAGACAGATCTGGTGCAGATGTGAAACTCTGTTGGCTGGCCCAAAGCTGTCTTTGTGTCCTGTCCACAAAGACAGTACTTGAAATACCAAAATTCCCATTGCTTACCTTGGCCCCAGACTCCAGCTGAGAGGATGCAGTGACCGTGGTGGAGCCGAGGGGTGGTGGCTCTGGGGCAGTAGTCAGAGTTAGTTTGAAGAATTTACCTAAAGTATGTCTTGAAGTCATACATGGTTGCAGTCAGATTTTCCCATTAATTGCTATTCTTGCAACAGAACTGAAAGGTCTGTCCAGCCCTGGCCTTCCAGTCAGCAGGGAAGGAAGAGGGATGCATGGAAGGTAAGCCATGCTGTTTTGTCATGGCTCACATAACTTTTCCTGCATTTGTTTCCCCACAAATATTTTTCTTAGCTCTGTTATTCCATTTGACAGAACCCACGTGCTCATTTATAGTGTAGATGGAGATTAATGTCAGGAACTTTTTGTTTTAATGAGTCTTTAGTAACTTGCATAATTTGTGAGGCAAACATATAAATTTCAAATGATGATAATAGGAGCTACAGATGATGAGTTGTATTGTGAAATTATCCGAGAGGAACATAGAGCTATGATTCACATGTCAGTCAAACATAATATGGTAGGAGTTCAGTTTCTGACTGATATTAAAATCATTACTTCAGGATAATGAATTTTGTATTTAATAATTTTAAAATGTATTCAAGATTTTCTCTAGTTTTCTTTTAATATTTATCTATGTAAAAGGCTATCTCAGTTAGGGAAGCACAGTGAGAAACACAAAGAGATGTGCAAAATTGCTGTGTTATCATTTTCATATTTCAAAGCCTTGAAAATAATATTTCAGAATTAAAGCCTCAGGAAAGAAAGGAGATGATGCCATTTTGTTTCATTCATTAAACTCTCAAAAGTTTCCTGTCTATGTATTTTATTTATTGAGTCTGAGAAGAATCAGAATTTATGTGTCAAATACAGAGTTTTCTGTGTTGTGTGGAAAGTGAACTTCTTAAATGTGGAAACAGATTTCTTAAATCTATGTTTATGGGCCAAACAAAAAATGTCCTAATAATCAGCCTGTACTTCATGGATTTGGCAGATGTTTGGAATAAATGTTAAGGTGTTTGATATTTGCTGGCCAAGTCATGTTTTTATCCAAGAGCCCTGTTGTTAATAAAAGAGTGTAATTTTAAACTCTAACTTTGAAAACCCTAGTTGTGCTAGTGGAAAGTTTGTCCATGAAAGTGTTACTGGTCCTAAGTAGTTATGTATTTTTTTTTTTTAAGTAGTAGTAGTAGTAATGATTGGTTTACAAGAGACTTTAAAAACAGCATAAGACATGCAAACATATACTCTGGATGCACTGAAATCTCTCAGTGATCTGCTTCATTTTTCTTGTTAGCACACTTGTGAAAGAAACATAATTTTGCTCTTAGATCTAATAATACAAACACAGGTTGCGTGCAAAGTCATTCTGATCTGATGTATTGTGTTTATCCTTTCAAGAGAGACAACCATGTTGATTTTTGTCATTGATACTAAAGAAAACTCTCCCCTCCTGTTTTCACTTGGCTTGGACTGTTAGCACGGATGAATTTCTGTAAGCAGTTACACAGTGGCTGTTCAATGAGCCGTGCCTAACAAAGTAATAAAGTTTAATTAGCCCAACTTAATCTGACAGTGTGTTGCTGGCACACTGTCTGTCTGTACAGCTGGCTAGTGATGCATGCATGCATATGAAATAAAGATCACTCCTTGAAATTCTTCTTTGCTTCTAGTATTGTGTAATTGAATTTGAAGTTGTCTTCTACATTCTCTACTTTCCTCTGTACAATACAAAACCAGGTCTCAGCTAAGCAAATTGACATGTTCTTCAGTTTGAGTTTGATAGAGGCTATTTTCGAGCTACAAATTTCATATTCATGTTGTTTAATCACAGCAAAAGTTTGGATCACACAAGAAACCAAAATCTGTGCAGCCAAGACCCTAATCCCTAATACCTCTAACATGTAAAATTGTTTCAGGGTGAAAAAGCTCTGAGTACAGCACACAGGCTGCTTAAGACAGCATAAGGACTGCACAGAGATAATAATGGATTAAAGGTCACAGCATCTTCCTTTATACTTTGAAAATATGAGCTATACTTTTTTGTTTTCAATGATGTTGATGTTCATCATGCCTTACATGGGTTTACAAACTCAAAACTCTGAGCCAAGGTTTCATCAATGATTTTTGCTACAGACAGCTCAACCTACAGCTGTAATCAATGATAAACACTGAGTAGTGAGACGACAAGATTCAGCAGTCCTAGCTAGTGCAGCCTCAGTGTGCTTCCCAGCAAAATTCAGGAGGTCTTTGTGAACATCCTGTGAAGAAAGTGGGCAAATTTCATAGAAACAGAGGTTGGACAGTAAAAGTGTAAAGGGATGTTATTGATGCAGTGTCCCCCTGGGGGGGGGTTTCAGCTGAGGAATCCCAGCCCAGGGAATGGAAACAGACCTCCCTAGTGCAGGGCAGGGAACGGGAAGTGCCAGAAAGAGGCTAAAAGGAAAAAACAAGGGAGCTGTCCTGTGCTTCTCTAACAAAACACATGTATGCACTTCATAATAAAATCTTGTTCGACTTTTGTCCAGCTGCGTCCAATGGCTTCTTGCAGCAAACTTATAATCAATATAACAGAGAAACATTAAAACTCAGGGATTATAATCAGACATTAAAACATATTCCTAAAACTGTCCCTCTATATAAAGCATTTTCCTTTCCAGGAAAACATCTTCATAAAGTGTCCCAGTGTGTTTTCCCCACAGGTTTTGTGCCTGTGCAGCAGAATCTTAGAATCAAAATCCAGGATGGAAGAAACCCCCAGAGGCCATCTAGTCCAGCCCTTTGCACAGAACATCAAGTTTCTCAGGTCCATGTCTCCAAGCAGGGGTTTTTGCAACCTCTCTGGACCACATCTTCCAGTACTTAACCACTGCATGATAAAAACATGTTCCTTATTAGAATTTTTTACAATCAAACAGTTCTGTTCTCTGATCTTCAGTGTCTTCCAGCTCCAGCATCATACATATTTTTCATGATCCAGGGACTTTTGGGCTGTCATTTGCAGAGAAGCCATTGCATTTTCTGAGCTGAACCTTACTAGCATTAATTGAGAGAAAACTTCCATGGATCTTCTGCTCTTGCATTTATCTCAGGGGAGGTCTTTGTGAAGCCAAATCCACATGGATGCTTTATCTCCTCTCCTCATCCCCCCCAAAGAGGGCCTCACAAAAAGACTCAAAAGAGAAAATTAAATGTTCTTGTCACCTGCTATTGCCTAGATGTGCTTGTAAAGCCAAAATTGCTGGTGCCTACCTTCAGTAAAGTCAGGTTTTGACTACACTGCTGCTTTCCAGGAGATGTAGGTAATTTACAGATCTTGAGAGATACTATTCAGTGGAGTGATTGGTTAGTTTATGAAATTAAAACCCAGTCACACAGTGGACTTTTTATTTGCTGGCTGTCACTTACAAGATAATGAGAAAGGAAATTAATATCTGAGTGAGAAAGCATAACGAAATTTCCCACCTCTGGAAAGAAAGGCATCAATATTTGTTACACAGGTTAATTTTATCCTTGTTCAGATCTATGAACTCAAAGACCAGAGAGAAAACAATGAGGAAAAAAAAAAATCTTTGAAGATATCTTTGAATATCTTTGAAAATATCTTTGAAGCAGTTTCTAAAGAAATATTGGAAGACCCAAAAAATCCACAGAGTTGCAAAAATAATTCCTCATTTTTCCCACTGAAATGAGTTATAGGACTTAGATCTCAGTGATCAGTTCAGTGTTGCCAGGCTCCATGAATACTGAAGTGCTTAGAGAGGCTGTTTTCCCCTTAAATTTCTCTTGACCGTTCATCAGCTTTCCCCACCCAAATTCCACCTCCATCCAAGGCAGACCCATCACATCCAGCTGGAGTGCCTTGCAAAGAAAATGGACTTGGGCTTCTTGGGGCATCAAGGGAAGAGCATTTTGCAAATCAATGTTAGTAAGAAAAAACTAGATAAACAGATTTTGCTTTTAAATATAGATATAGAAGATATATCTGATTGTTCTTACTGCCTCTGAACTAGCTTGCTCTTTTAATCTTGCTGTGTTGAATTAAATTAAGATGTACATCTATGGTGCTTTCATCTGCACAGCAATACAAGTACAGAAAAAATACACCTTCTAAAAAAATAAAAATTAAAACTGTGTGTTTACCCCAGCTGTGTTTTTTGACTTCTCTTTTTCGTAATTTCTTTCTAGTAAAGAAACTGAAGTATTTCTTTAAGGAATCCCCATGTTATACTGTCCAAAAACTGGCCAAAAAGTGAGTAATTTCATATTGCAATAGGTCTGAGTTTCACTTATGAATCATAGCAGTGAATAAAATTAGTTGGAGCGTGAACTAAAGACTGGGTTTAACCCTACTGTACCAGATGTACAAAGTAAAAAAGAGAAAGGGAGCCATCACCTCACTAAGCCTGGCAGGGAGCAGTCTTTGAGCAGATAATGGTGTGGAAATTGCTGGCAGTTAGAACAGATAGAAATGTCTCAGGAAAGGAACTGCTGCAGTGCTCTGTAAATGCTACATGGCTTGGTGCAGGGAGAGCCCCTTGTACTCCCAAAATAGGAAGAAGGAGCAATAAGTGTTTATGCCACATCAGCTGTGTGACAGGGTCAGCTCCTACACATGACCTTGCCTTGGGGAAAAAAGTCCAGGAAGCCAGTGCCAGAGACTCAAGGACATGTGAGAGTCAAAAGTCTAAAGCCTTATATATGCTCTGAAGTACATAAAAGACTATGCAAATGAAAGTGTCACAAAATGACATTGGAGTGGAAAGTTAACACAAGGACAGAATGTTTATTCTGAGTGTTTCCAAGTTTTAAAGCCTTATATAGTTTTCTGCTTTTACTTGTTCCTTCTTTTATGATCTTTAACACTACTCAAAAATGCCTCTAGTTTTCTTCCAGTGTCTGTTGAATTTCACATAATTTGTAGATAACAGTTAAATCTATTTCCACCGTGGGTTTCTGAGCACTTAATTTACATTTTTAGCCTTTGTTTCCAGACTTCTGGTTCCTAAATATGACAAAAAATACAATTTTCTTCTATTTCCACACTGCTTGTTTTCCTTTTCTCCTTATTTCAATGTGTGCTGTTCCAAAGTTTCTGCCAAGTTGGCAATTCTTTTTCTATGGCTGTTAACCTACAAGAGGAGACTGCTTTCAGCCTTTGCAGAGACTGCTTTGATCCATACCATCCCTGATTTCCCTCAGGGCCTGCACAGGCAGTGCTGAGGCTGCAGCTTGCACGTGTGCATGGTTGCATGCAGTCCTGCAACACACATTAGAAGATGTCCTCTGCACTTTGTCCCTCGTGTGGCTCATCACACCAGCTCCAACCTCCAGCAATGGCCCATCACAGTACTTCATGCAACAGCACCAGCAGCTCTCAGCTAGCTAGAATAAAAGCCCTTCCCTGGTTACTGTGAGGTTTCTTGCTCATAGTACTCAGAGCCAGAGAGCCAACCAAGAAATAAAAACCCGTGGAAGAAGAAGCAAAAAAGAAGCAGACTGAAAGAAGAAACACTGTCCTGAGCAAACCATGACTGCAGTGGGTTTGTGACAACCTTAATGCTGACATTTTTGTGGGGGGTTGTGCAATCCTTTTGGGCTCGTTATTTACTACACAAATTTGCTGCACATTTGCAGTGAGAGGCATGCCCTGGTTTTTGTCAAAATGGAAACAAAACCAAGGCAAGACATGTATGGTTCCTACACCTGTCTGAAGATGTTTCCTTACCAAGATATTTTCTGGTCATCCAGTTCTTAAATCAGCTTCATTTTTGTCTTTCAAATAGTTAAGAGGCAAGATTACTTCTCAAAGTGACGTGTGGTTGGCAAAGTAGCACTCAGATATTTTTTCCTACTAACAAACAGAGACTATTGATCTGAGGTGCATGAGGAACAACAAACATAGTCTCTTGATATTTGCCTACAGAGTTATTTGTCATTGCAAAGCTGAACTTTGACAATTTATCCTGAGTTAGTCCTGAGATTTGGCAAGAAGTTTTAAATTATCTTGTGTAGAATAAATTTATCTGTATTTCACCTAGACCAAGTCCTTATATATTTAGAAGCATGAAGCCAACTACTTATTACTAAACACATAACATACTAAGTACAGTTATGAGTGAAAAGCTTTTGTCATTGATTTATGTGATTTTGAGGAGGAATTAAAAGCTAATATCAGGTGTTACCTCTCTGCAGATACACATGGAATGTTTTTTCTATTCCTTATTGGTATTCTTGTGCTGCAATTTACTCATATTGACAACAGTGATTTAATGTAAAGAAAATAAAGATCTCCAAATTAAAAAAAAAATCTGGTTTAGAAATATTCACTATAGTTTTTATGTTACATTTTTCACAGACATCTTAAGAAACTAAGGTCTAAAATGTAATTTATAATTTTTTCTACCAGTTTGAGATAATCTGTAACAAAAGATTTAATCAATCTATAATTTACATTCTTTCTTTGGCTGTCTATATTTTAATAAGATGTGCTAAAGATTTTGATTTAAAATTTAAAGCAAAAGATAATATAATAATTTAAATATTTACTGCTTTGTAAGTGAAGTTATATTTCATTCATAACCATACAATTATCTACTGCAACTGGATTCAAGGAACCTTAAGGTAAGAAAAGGTACAAATGTCAATTCCCAGCCTGTGTTTACTCTGTAATAGTAATCCACTGCTAACATTTAGAAAAGTGACTTCTGAAATATTTTCTGTATTTTTTATGTGTGTTTATGATAGCTTTAACCAATTTAACAGTCCCTAGGAAAGCTCTGCAGTTCCTACTGAGGAAGTGGAAGATTTTTGGAGTTATAATTTACATTCCTCCTTTTTTCTACCACAGTCTGTCAAGTCTAGCTGGAAAGTGAATACCGAAGGTGGCATCAGTTGAAACAAGAAATGACAGTGACAACAAATCTATGAAAAGGAAACCGGTGCTATGTCATGGACTACTCCATCGGGCTTTTATCTCAAGGCATTAGCAACAATTGTTATATTAGTAGAATAAAACAAAAGTCTTTTTTCTGCTATGCATTCCTTCCTTAATAGAATTAAAATTATCTGTACATCAAAGCAGCTTTCTTTTCTCCAAGCGGAGGCTTCTGCTGAGGAGGAGACAGGGGAAGGCAAGCTAAAACAGCTGCACTCATCAGCCCTTTATACTGGTGGTGTCCTCCAATGTTTCAGTCACTGATCCTGCAGTTTCATAACATGCTTGCTTACAAAACTTAAAGAAATTAATGAAAATGCACTCCAATATTAAAGAAATCTGCATCTAAGGGTATTCATCAGGGGTTACTGGATTAAACAGACAGGACTTACAACTTGCACCTCATTTTTCCTGTTTCTCCTTTCACATGCACACCCTGTGACTGTACAGCAATACCTACATCAGTTGGAGACTTTGAACCAACTGGGTACCCCACAGGAGCACGTCAGAAAGGGCTTCTTACAAAACTGGTGAAAAGTGACTTGTATTTCATTAACACTACAAGCTATATTCAGGTGTAGGCTGTGGGAAATCCTAGTGACTTTTGGACAAGGAAATACAGTTTTTGTGTTTTAAGGGATTAATAAGGTTTCTAAGGATAATGGTTGAAAGATGAGCACTGGCACAGAGTGGGTTGCATACATAAGTGTTTCCCTGGATCACAGGAATTGAGCCAGCGATGTGCATAAGTTTTGTCAATCAGCCATTTTTCTGAGGGTTTACAATTTTCCCAATGAAGAGGACAGTGTGGGTGAACTTATCCAGAATCAGCAGGAGAAATGGTCTGTTGAATCTGACTCGAGGTGGGCGAGGAAAATCCCCAGATCTCCAGGTAACCTCCTTCACTGAGGCCGCGGCCGCCTCAGTGCCATTCTCATGAACATTCAGCATGGCTCTGTGGATCACCTGCAAGAAACAAAGCAAACAGCCTCCAGTTGACAATTCAGCAAGAAGAGAGAGCCTGTCACCCTCTTCATTTTTGCCAGCCAAAGGGAGCCCTGCCTGGAGCAAGACGGAGCAGCAGCAGCTTCTGGGAAGGTCATCACCAGTTGCTCCCATTCCCACCGCAGCACCAGCAGCCATCACACCACTCAAGCCATCCTCCTTCACTGCTTGTGCAGAGAGTAGCCCTCAAACTGCAGGCAGCCAAAGAGTACTCAAGATGACTGATGACAAGAAAATCTGGAAGCAAAGAAACCTGGTAATTTAGCTGAGATTCAATTTTGTCTTTGGCAGCTTCATGTATTATTGTGAATTTACCCTGTCATCTAGCCGAAAAAATAACTTTTTGAGAACACTAGAAGGGCAGGGATAACAGCCCTTTGCCCTATGTAAGAAGAATTAGAGGAAATTTTACCAAAGCTATTGCACTACATTTAGATAATTTTGTTTAGTAGCCAAAAGAACATTTAATTATATGTATGTTTTCATCCTCATCCTCCAACCATGACTTTCTAACCCCTAGTAAGTATGTTTGGCTTCAGGTTTATGAAAGACAGGGCTTTCTTTGCCTCCAGACTGGCAGCTATTGATGAATGAGTGATGCTTCAGAGAGACTGGGGTAAGCTTTTTCGTGGAATATTAATGTCAGGTTCCTGGGAACAGGCAAATCCTGTGGTTGCTTTCACATGCTGACTTACTTTTGAAACCATCAGTCCAGGCTCCTCAGTAATCCCTGAGAGATCAGCTTGTTCAGTAAACAGATTGACCATACCCATTTGTTTCACTATATTCTTCACATCATAGGTACCAGAAATACAAAATTTTGGAATGTGCAGGTGTATTTTTCTGTAACAAACAACACAAACAGGGACAAATCATCATCTAGACAACATTCCTCAATGGCTTCAGTATATTGACACTTCACATTTGTTTTTCTAATACTTACAGCCTTCTCTCAGGGTTCAGATAGCACTTCTGATCAGGTTAGCTACTTAATGTGGAGGGTAGGAACAAAATAAGTCAGTTCTAGCTCCTGCCTCTGCAGTGGGATTCGAGGAGTGGGGTGGAAGATAGAGCTGTACAGCTCAGTGGCAAACAGAACTACTACTGCCAGGTACAAGGGCTTTTTCAAAAGATTGCAGCTAGCTGACCTAAGGCTGTTCAAATATGCAACACCACAGAAATAGCTACAGTAATGGTGAATTAATCCACTTTCACACAGAATGCCCTCAGCATAACACCCAACAGCTACTCCATTATAGTTTCCCAGTGCTTGTATGAAACAAAGGTCTGTTGACTTCATCATGGTGCTATGTAATTTTTTGTTGAACCAGGAACTAAACCCAAGATGAATCCCAAGTTCAATGACCTATTTGTTCATGAGCCATAGCTCTTTTTCATTTTCATTTTCCAGCTAATTAAAGGGAAATTCATCATAGAGTCAAGTAAGTCTATACATTAAGTGTATAGAGTTCAGTCAAATAACCTGACCTTCAATGTTTTGTCTTGGTGAGATAAACACATGGTCACCTCTCACCTTAGCAAAAAGTCTTACCTGTCTTGGAGGGACTTTTCCCATTTAGTTACAGTTCTTTTCAAGAGGGCATCTTCTACCTGCTTCATCTTCCCTTCATCAGGCAAAACAAATAATGCTGCAACATCTCCATTGTAAGGTATCTGAACCAGCCAACAGGAAAGCTCTTCATCAAAGTAATTTCTGTAGTAACCCTTTCGATACATCATATCAACTTTTACAGATGTGTTCTGATCCACAAAAAAGTCCTCCTCTTTTGTCTGTGCCATACTGAAGGGTTTCTCCCAATGGGCTTATGACAAAAAGGAAATGTATTCAGTGGAATACAAAGAGGAATGGCCACAGTGAATAAAACAGGACCTAGATCCACAGCCTTCCTTTCATTAGAGCAATATTCTTTTCATGTTACTGCATCCTCAGGTGTTACAGCATTGTATATATATATATATATATATATATATATATATATATAGGTGCTTAAAGACAATTACAGACAGATAATACTGAAAACAGCATCTTTCACTACAGCATGAGTCTGTGATCACATGACAAAATTAACCAAATTCAATAAAGATATTTAATTGAAAATTTCATTAAAGCAGGTGAGGATATATTTTTACTGGCAAAAAATATACATGGGTTTATAGTGATACCTTCCAGATATTGAGCATGATTTCCTCTATTTAAAATATTTAATTTTTTTCTCTTTTTGTTCTCTATAATAAGCACTATCTTTGTACTGTTTGATATGTCTTACCTTTAAAGAAGACATAGTTAATGAGAACCATTGCAGTCAGAGGATCAAGACTTTCCACTAGTTTAACTATTTTCCCATTTGTCTTTTCCTCAATATAACTGTTGATCTGACTCTCAGCACCAACAGAGTTGTTAAAGTCAGTAGAGAAGACTTCAGATTCATAAAAGCTCTTGACATCATCCAAAAACTTCTGTAGTGGCTTTAGTGTCTCCTCTATAAAAAGGGCATTGCCCAGGCTCAGCTGGAACTCACTATTTGAACGGTTCAGCATGTGGAGAAGTTGGCAAAAACCTTCATGTATTTTCTGCTCCTGAGTCTTTTTCAGGTTAAAGGCAAGCCCTTCCAAAATCTGTGTCAGTGTCACAGCCTTGGCACCAAGTGCCAGCATTGCAAAGGAAGCAGAGATGCTTATGGGTGAAAAGAAAATATTTTTGTCCATTGCTTCAGATGCAACCAGCTTGTAAAAGGAAAATGCAAAGTCAGCATTGCTGAGAACTAGTTTGACAAAGGTTTTGTTCTTAAGTGGAGAAGCTTCTTCCCACTGAGAAATATGTCCTGGATAATATGTACCTTTAGCATCACCCTGCTTATTACGGTAGCGAGGATGCTGATGACGCAGGGCAACAGTATGCAAACCAGCCAGCAATAAACACAAGGAGAAAGTGGTCTTCATTTTGCTTTCAACTGTTTCTGCAAAAGAAATAGACATGCAAAACACATCACGGAAACTAATTTGTTCATACTGTGTCCTCCAGTAAAGTAAAATGATGCTCTCAGAACATACCTATTCTCTAAAATCCCCCACACTTTGTAATTCACATTTCTGATGCATGCCAGTGTTCCCTGGAAAGAATATACCTCCACTATTTATATATATACAGTCTAATTCTCTTCCAAAAGAGGCAATTTAAAACTTTTGAAAGTTTATTTTACTTTTAATAAACTTTTAAAAGTTTATTAAAGTATTATCTAATACTTTAATATTAGCATATTCTTTTAAAATTTGGAAATAATTGGAAGTGTATGACCTTTTCCCAAGAGTAACTGGCACGAGTTGGCTTCGTACTAAATACCACATAAAGGTTACTGCACCTTTGTTAGCCTTCCTCAATTCATCAAATAATTAAAGAATTAAATATGTATTAAACAAAAATGTGATATAAGCATAGATTATACTACCTAGAACCAAAACTACAAAATACTTTTACAGTTTCTTCAAAGGTGAAAGACTACATCACTAGTCTTTGTGGTATAAAAGTCTATAGTCATTTCAATTGTTTCCAAACCAAATTTATACTTTATTATGTGAAGTATCTTCTTTAGTATCACTTCTTTCTGGCTTTTGAAATGTACTGATTTTTTTTCATAAGAGGTATAGTCCCTATTTACATGTACAAAGGCACCACTCCCAGGCAACAACCTCCTCAAAATGAAGTGTAAGACATCGAAAAGAAAACTAAAAGGGTACTTACATTGCTACAGTCTGGTCTTGTCTGCTCATTCTTCCCTTCAGTATCATTAAACAGAGATAATCAGAGCACTCCGTTAATCATTAAATAGTTCAAATAAAAGTTGCCAGTGAGGATGCACAACAAGCAGTAATGACATTGGATATTTTGGACAATTTTTCCAACCCAGACAAACGCTAGCAGTGCTGGGTGATGGGGCTGCAGACAAGAAGGATTGGAGCAGAGGCTGTATCTCTGTTGCTTCTATGCTTGTGGATTGACAGGAGGGACCTCCTGCTGCGGATGCTTGGCAGGAGAGCCGCAGCCACGGCACAGCTGGAGCTGGAAGCCGTGACTTGGTGTGGGGACCACCCCTTGCTTGGGTCTCAGCACCCCTCAAAACGGATCACAGAGTCTCTGCCAGATGCCCTCTTTGATTTGTCCTGCGGGCACTGCCGGAGCTGTAACCTCTCTCTGGCAGGATTTCAAAACAGGGTTTGGATTTAGAAAGTCCTTCTGCCTTTCTATATACCTCAGTCACAACCTTCAACATCATGTTTGGTGGTTTTGGGGATTTTCTTATGCAGAGCAGACTGTGTATGATTGGTGAACAGTCTATAAGTTTCTTAGGAGAATAACACATGATATTATCACTCTAGGAAGACATTTACAGCCAATAAAGTTGTCTACTCATTGCTGTTGGCCATCACCTGTGACTGAGTATTTGGGGAACTGGGGAAGAATTTTCACCTGGCTTTGTAGAAAATATGCAATAAAACCACTACTGTTGAGAAGAGCACTGACTTCAAAGAGAAACATGTGGTCAGAAACAGACATCTTATTTCCTTGGGTTAATCTTCTGTATAATATACAGCTGAAATGGACACCATGAGGACACAGAACAGGCTGCCAATTCACCTTTCAACCAGTACTAAAGAAGACATGCTGGCATCACTGGATGATATTTAGAGTTGAATATGAAAAAAATCACTGAAGGAGAAACTAAGGCAGAAAATGAACTTCATTAAACACATCTGGTTGCCAACATGTCACTCTCTGCAAATTCCCAGGCATTTGGTTTCTGAGCAGGAGCCTCACACTATATCAGATATTGAAATGCTCCACATGGTGTTCAACATCTCTGAATGAGAGCACACTGGTAGGGACCTACACTTAGGAAGCTGAATATACTGAAATAATTACAAATTAATAGTGGGATTTGCCCTATGAACCTTTTTCTCTTGGTCTAAAAGATCCTTTCTTATGCAAACAACTTTTAGAATAACAAGTTCACCAAAGAATAGTTCTTATTTTGAAATGAAATTGTCTACCCAGAGAAATCTCTTGGTGTTAAATTAAATTTTAATTGAAATCTTACATTCTATATTTGTGTGATGCAAACATGGCCTAAAACAAGCACTGAGAAAATCTCTTATGCAGATATTTTGGAATTACACTTAAAATTTATTGCTTCCAAAGCCAGATAGAAAGTATTAGGGCTAAACTTTGCAGAGTGCTACCATTGATATTGTACAACAGATTAATATTGTTGGCAGTATTAGTATTGTTGGCAGTGAAGAAGCAGAAGGAAGATCAACTAGCTGAATGAATATATGCAATGAAATGAAATTTATTGCATGATTTATTGCTTATTTTCCTTTTTTTAAACAAGTCTTTGAGACTATATTTTAGGATTTTGAGGATTCTGACAGATCAGAGATGGTGCAGCAAGTCTTTTCCCAATTTGAATGGAGGCAAAATACGAGACTGTGTGGTTGTCCTTATCCTCTGCAGATCGCAGCCTGGCAGGTCGGCACAATTCCATTTCCAACAATGGCTTACATTATCATGGCTCCACAGGACACTTTGGGATCTAGGATGTACCTACATGGGCTTTCTGTCGTGGTGCTGCACCATCTTTCCCAGCATGCCCATGTAAAATTGCACAGAAGTGCTGGAGCAGATCTGCTTCTCTTAGATGCCTCTTCTCAGTCACCTTTGGAACCGCTGTGAATGTGTCAGGGCTGTGACACACAGCACAATCACAGGCATGGGCATGAGGTGGTAATCTTTGGCTGGGCCACTGAGACACAAAATGTCTTCAAATTTTACCTATATGATTTACCAAGAGACACAGCTCTCACTTGAAAGATAGAGGAACAGAAAATAAATTCTATTAACCATCCCTTGAATATGTAAGTTATGGTATGGCTTTTTTGATAGTTAGAGAATCTGCATCTGCAAGAGCAGCAAACCTAACAGCATTCATACACATTTTAGAACCTATTTAGAGCTATTACATCTTTCATCTACTTTGTGCACAGAACCTCCTGCTATGAGGTTCTTTCCTGACTGCAACCATCTTATACTGACTATAAAACATAGGTTGGACTTGATGTGTTCCTGTTTCATACTGATTTTTAATTTCAAACTTCTTCTTTCATCAGAACATCTTCCATGTGGTCTTTTTTTCTGACATGAAATGTGGTGAACAATACAGTAATTTTTCCTTAACAGAATATTTACTCAATTCAGACAGTCTTCTTCAGATCTTCCATATGAGAATCACATTGCTGTTAACAGTTTTCCAATGATAAAGAATACATTCTTCTTTAGTAAAGTAATAAATCATAAGATTTTTTTTCCAGATGGCTTATGAAAAAGAAACTGAATGCAACAAAAAATTAGAGAAATAAAGACAGTATAATTAAGGTTTATTCACTTGTAATAAATTAATCTCTAGCACTAGAACTGAACTGTACTTTCATCAATGAAATTCTTTTTTGCAAGAAACCACCAAAGTAATTTGCAGCAACATCAGCAGAGTATGTGTAACCATGATGTTAGTCAAGGACATTTACAAGAAATGGATGAATTATAGTTTTCTTTAAAATTGTTAGTCTGAGGAAAGTACAATTACCAAATTATTTAAAATGGATTCACTGTTATACCTGGGACTGGGAACTTAATGAAGGATATTTCCAGATGGGCCTTTGGTGGCTAGCAGTTTGAAGGGAATGAATGATATCATATATATGCTGTGTTTACATCTAATGAAAACAGTCCCATGTAAGTAAGGGCAGATGCACAGTACCCAACCAAGAATGGAGTATGGATGGTAAGATTTGAAGGATATGTTACAGGACACAGGGATACATAGCCCATCGTGGTCTTCATGCCTTTTTGCTCTTGATAATTTGCATTTGTTCTAACTCCTACTGCAGTGAGTGCTTAGAGTTTTCAAGTGAAATGCATATTTAATAATGTTTGTGTTTCTCTTGCACCTTTTCTGTGGTTGGAAATCGTAGTGCCTCTGTGCTTTGGGGACATGATTTGAATGCTGGATTAGGGATTAGTACTGTTTGAGGTTTTTTCCTACCTTCCAAACTACCAGGAGTCATGTCAAAGGTGAGTAGTTGGGTTCTCAGAATCCCCCATTCAAACCCCACCCTGCCTGGGAACTATCACAATCTGGTTTTAAGAGCTTAGTGATTTTCTGCTTGGAATTAGTGTGAGTAAAAGGAAAATGCCTGCAACTTTTGTTGCACTGAATCTACTGAAACATTTAGAATAGGGTTGGCTTACAACCTGTCCAAATTCTCATTTCCTTGCAATACTAGCTGTGATCACAGGCTGTGCAGATGACATGACTGTGGGGAGAAGGTGGATGTGTTCATTCAAAGCATTCCAGATACCAGGGCTAAGGCTCAAATTGCATAGCTGGGAACAAGGAAGTCCAAAGTACTGGTATCATCTGAACAGCAGAGTTTATGTGAGCAACTGCTGTTTCTGTAACTATCCAAATGCTCTGTGCCTTTTGGCGTTGTCAGCACCTCTCCTTACTGCTGAAAGGAGCACACACTGCAGTGGCCCTGCAATTCCACTGCTTCATCTTTTGTAACAACAATCCGCATGGACTCTGCCATGTGGCAAAGCAAACAGAGTGTTACTGACAGAAGATATCCTGTCATAAAGCAGAGTCCCACTGGACCATAAACAAGGTCAGACAGAACAAATTTACAGTCTCCCACATGGCTCATAGGCTGCCAGGGTAAGTTTGGCACTCCGGTCTGCTGGGGCACAGCTAGGCTGCCTTCCAGGAGCCCAGCCCTGGGGGTCTATCTTCCCTCACAGGAGATCTCCGCTGAGTTAAACTCTCTCTAGGTAAGTTCTTTTCCTCATAACTTCCTATAAGTGCATCAGATCATGGCACCCAGACCCACAGCAGGCCATTTATGTTGGATGTTTATGATAGGTGGTCACATGCTTCACTGTAAGTTGTATTATCCCCTTCTGCTGACTGTCACTGCAGGAAGTCAGGTGGATTAGGTTATAAAGGTTACAACCTTTAGTTTACAAAGAAGATCAGTTTTCTTTCAGGCCGTAATTTGGATTCAGCTGCTCCAGAGGCTGAAAGAGTGCATGAGTGGGAATTGTAGAGGAATAAAAACATCTCCAGATGAATGAGAGGCACTGTAAAATGTGTGTTTACCACAAATTAAATACACAGTCCCTAAATGAAAATTTTACTTGTTTATGTCTATCAGAATCAGTTGGGTTTTTTTTTTTTTAGAATTTTAAAGTTTCTTTAAGTTTTGTATGCCTTCTGATGTTTACATATTTCTACTGAATTTTCAGTTTATATAAACAATGTTTTACATTCTTCTTTGTAAGTAGAGAGAATTGATAGACTGTTAGTTTAACCAGTGTGGTTGGAGAGGTAGCAATTTCACCCCCCAATCCACTGTCACTTTTAGTATTCCATATACAGTACAGTCAGAAAATAAAATTTGCTCTTTTATTTCTTTTCTCTCCTCTTTTGCATCTAACATCCATGTGTGAATTATTTTGTGGCATAGTGTGACAAGAATCCTTCATGTTTCGTCTACCTCTAATAACACTAATAGAATGAAGAGGGTTCCCTATCACATATTAAAACAAAAGAAAACTGCAAGGACAGATGATGAAAAGTAGACCAAGACAGATTTTCTTGGAATTAGGAAAAAATACTCCATCTCCCTACAAAAGCTTTCCAGAATTGTCAAGATCCTAAAGAATATTATCAGAACTGTGCTGAGAG